AATTCTGTAATAAACCTTGCTGATTGAACCTACACGGTCTCCAGGAGTTCCTTGGGCTAGGCCTGACATTGGGCTAGCATATCCTTCCACCTTCGTACATATAACCTTATAGCTGTTATCATATATAAGAACAAAATTCCATAAATTTAATAATAAATGTATTTTAACCTTAGTCAAAAATACAGTGGTACCTCCGGTCATGAACTTAATTCGTTCCGCGACTCTGGTCGTGACCCGAATTGGTCACAACCCGAATCAAATTTTCCCATAAGGTTCAATGTAAATACGGTTGAACTGTTCTGATCCCTACGAATTTGGTCACGACCTGATTTTGGTCGCATCCCGAATCAAATTTTCTCATAAGGTTCAATGTAATTACGGTTAATCCGTTCTGAACCATATGTATTTTTTTTTTAAAACCACAAAAATATGACACAAAATACAGTACGAAGAGAAAGAACGCTAACCTTGCTTGATGCGACTTCTGGTGTGGAGGACAGGAAGGCGGGTGGGGAGGCAGATATTGCTTGGGGGGAGAGCCCCCCCCCCTACAGGAAGGCACGAACACGTGTCACGGGAGGGAAAATGGCCGTGGATCCTGTTCGTCACCCGATCTGGCGTTTGCGAACAGAAGCAAAATTTTGCGAACGGAGCTGTTTGTGACCCGAATTGTTCGTGAACAGAAGCGTTTGTGACCTGAGGAACCACTGTAAATCCATTTTGTAATCCAATTTATCATTTTCTTTTTTTAAAAAAAAGCAAATGAAATCTCTCCCCCTTTATACAGAGATCCTTAAAACTTCATCATTCAGTCCTGGTCACAAAAATATCTCATTAATAACTACCAAAAACTTCAACGTATATATTAACCATAATCAAATAAGTTCACTTTGTAAACCTTCTGTTTAGTTTTAAAAAGCTTAATCTTTAATCCTTTCAAATAGTGTCCCACAAGTTAATTCCCCATCATTCTCTCCTTGTCTTCTCCAAAAACAGCCCTGGTAATTTCTCTTTGTCTCTTCCCAGGAACAGCCTCACTGGTTCAACACATTCCTTTTGCAAATCCAAAATAAAAAGTCTTTCCAAGTCACTCTTCTTTTCCATTATTTCTGTGTCCCCTTTGATCATTGTGACATCAACTGGTTTCATTTGTAAATTGATTACATTTGTAAAACTTTTATCTCTTTTTTGCATTCGCCTTATCTTCCAGCTTTTTGCAAATAGTTCAAGCTACGATAAAGCTCTAATTCTTCTTTTAAAGTTATAGTCCCAGAAATAATGAAAAAAACACCAAGAAAATTACTTATCTGTTGCAAAGGAAGGTCTCTTTTACGTTGAAAAATAGTTATATTCCAAAGTGGTTTAGAAATGGGGTCTGGCCGGGTCTAGTGTCCATATTTAGGCTGCACCACAGCTGTGAGCGAGGATGGATCCCCCGCCTCCCAGCCTCTCAAGCCGTTCGCAGAAGTTTCCGTTTCTGCGATTAGCTTCCGAGGAATGGTCATCCTGGAGACCAAACGGGTTGATTTCTCGCTTCCTCCTTAATCTGGAGCAAGTTGGGCAGCCAGCACTTACTGCCAGCCACTGACCCAGCTGCAGTGCCGTCTCCCCTCTCACGGAGACGACTGAGCTGCCATTGTCCCCAGCAGAAGTCAGGTGAAGGATGTTCCTTGACTCAAGAAAGGATGGGCTGTTCCGCTCTCAGGAAGCTGTAAAAGCAGCTATGCCGTTCCATACAGTTTCATGTTGTGGAACACCCCTCCCCTTTTCTCTGAAGGTTAGTTGCCCACAGTACAGTTGGTCATTTTTTAAAAAAATGTTTTGCTTTACGGTAAAGAGCAATGGTAATAGAATAATAATATTCTGCAAAGAAAAGGTTTCTCTTCATGGGCTCCCTCAAATATGACTACCCTGTCTTTTTGAACTCAAACTAGGAGACAAACAAGTGATGGCCTTTTCACCCTTCCTGTTTTAGGAATGCCCTGAGTATAATTTTTAAAAGTTAGCAATCATACCAAATTTCACCACATTTAGGACAGTGTATAAAGTAAATTGGAAATAATTCTGCCATAAAACCAACAAAACTATTAACCCTGGGTAAAAATCACAAAACGTGGAAGACCGACTCATAGGCACTATTAAAATCTAGCATTAAAAGGACTTTCTAAAAATGTTTAGCTGGAACCTCTTTCACATGAAATTATACTGCAAGCAAGAGAGGATGATATTTATCCTGACTTGGATGCATGTTATCCTCTCTCGCTTGCAGTATAGTAATATTCATTAAAGTGTGCAAATTTGGACTGTAAAATAAATGGAGAATCCCAACCTGTATTGTGGATTGGACGAAACAGAGCCACATTACCCCTGGGAAAGGGAGTACTGGTTAAAGAAATGGTGCAATGAACAAGTCGAGACTGAGATCTATGCATAGGGAAAGGATGATATATTTCCTCAACTTACGACCACAATTGGGACCAGAATTTCTGTTGCTAAGTGAAGCAGTCATAATGTGTGATGTCATGTAACTGCATCACTTAGCAGTGACAATCCCAGCACTCCCTGTTGCCATTGTTAAGTGAATTCCAACCAGTCATTAGCCAAGGACCCACCCCATTCCAAGCCATTCTGGGCTTGGTCCTTCCCAACCCCGAGCCTCAATAAAGTAAGGGCTGCCTCCAGCTCCCCCCACCCACCTATCTCCTCCCCATCTCTGCCCTTTTGGCTGCCCTGTACCCTGCCTTGTGGGGCAGCAAGCAGCCAGAACCACACAGCTCTGGTGCTGCTTGCCACGCTGTGGCTCAGGGGCTTCTTGGTGCCCCATGGCTCTGGGACTTCAAGAAATCCCTGAGCCACAGCGCAGCACGAAGCCCTTTGCAGTCTGGCCCAGCAGTGCAGTGCAAAGCCTCAGCCACCCAGCCCAACCGCAGTTGCCACCCTGCACTCCAAGGCCCCTGCTGCCCTGTGCTCCACTGCCCCAGCTGACCTTCATCGTCTTCTTGCTCCCGCTGCTGACGAGGCTTACCCTCCCTGGCCCTTCACAAGGCAGTTGCTGGCCATGTGAGGCTATCTTCCACAGCTTTCGTGAGGCAACCGCCATGCACAACTTGGGGAAGAAAACCTCACGTGGCCAGCAACTGCCTTGCAAAGGGCCAGGCCAGGCCAGGCATGCTTGGTCAGCAGCAGGAACAAGAAGATGGTGAAAGTCAGCTGAGGCAGGGGAGCACAAGGTGGCAGGGGCCCAAAAAGGCATAGATGTGGGGGAGATAGGCAGGTGTGGGGTGTTGAAATGCCCTTGTGGTCGTAAGTGGGGGTGGGCGGCCAAGTGCCCCAATTCTGATCACATGACTGCAGGGGCACTGCAATGGCCATAACTTTGGGACCGGTTGTAAGTCCCTTTGTTCAGCACCACTGTAACTTCAGATGGTAGCTGAACGAATGGTTATAAGTCAAGGACTACCTGTATTAATTGATAGTCTATCAGTTGGTATATTTTGGCTGTCAAGGTCAATCTTAGTAAAATTAAAAATTCTACTCTGACTTTTCATTCCAGGTCGCCCAATGGTGATCTCCAGTGGGATGCAGTCAATGAGCACAATGCAGCAAGTTTATAAGCTGGTGAAGCCCATCAACCCAAATTTCTGTTTTCTTCAATGCACCAGTGCCTACCCACTTCATCCTGAAGATGTCAATCTTCGTGTCATAACGGTCAGTGAGGAATAATGTCTGGAGTATTGTAGGAGGGCATAGCCATGATAATCCCTGCAGGATAATTTTGATCCCCAGCCCAGGGCTAGCTAGCTAGCTAGTTAGCTAGTTAGTCAGTTAGTTAGTTAGTTAGTTAGATTTCAGTGTGAGCAGAACCTTCAGTATAAGGCAGCATTTCTCAACCTCAGCAACTTTAAAATGTGTGGACTTCTGGGAGTTGAGGTCCACATGTCTTAAAGTTGCTAAGGTTGAGCAACACTGGTGTTGGGTAAGCCTGCAAAGTTACTTCCATTTTTCTGATGAAACTGAGAATGCCTGTGTTGGATTGTGTCTGAGGAACTTTCATATTAAACACGGCTGAGCCAAACCATTTTGCATTGGTCATTCCTGTCCATTTTGTTGTCCTTTTAGGAATATCGCTCAGCCTTCCCGGATATTCCTATTGGCTATTCAGGTCATGAGACTGGGATAGCCATTTCTATTGCTGCGGTGGCGATGGGGGCCAAAATATTGGAGCGCCACATCACTTTGGACAAGACCTGGAAAGGCAGTGATCATCAAGCATCTCTGGAGCCCAAAGAATTGGCAGAGTTGGTGAGAAGCATCCGGATGGTAGAGAAAGCCATGGGATCACCAATCAAGCAGTTCTTGCCTTGTGAAAAAGCTTGCAATGAAAAGGTAATCTCTTTCTTGCAGGTAGTAATTAATTCATTAATTACCTTCTATTTTGGGGGGTGGTGACTGATGGTGGCAGTGGCACTTGAAGTACTCCTGTTTCTGCCTGACTTAGCCGGGTCCTGGGGACTGCTAACTGCCTGACTTAGGACTGCCTGACTTAGCCGGGTCCTGGGGAGGAGGATCCTGAACCTTCCAGTTATTGTTGAATGAAAGAGGTATCTGTAGGGCGGGCAAGCGAGCGTCCCATGATGGAAGCAGTGATGCAAGCTCTGCCCCACTGATACCTGTCTCGTGATGTCACATGCTTGTTCAAGAGGGTTTGGAGCTTGTAGTCTGACACTGCTTTCATTTCGATGAAAGCCTCGATTCCGAGATGTTTCTGCCTCCCACCATTCCTGATCATGAGTCCTGGGCTCTAGGACAGCTAAGGGCTGTTAATTGAGCAGCATCTGCAACCTTTCAGAACCAGCATCCTTAGCTTAATAGATTAAGGGTCCAAGGCTACACGTAAATTAACAGTCACTGGGCATAGCCTGGTGACAGTGATCACTGTTGTCTTGCTGAAGCTAAATTGATGTGGATCTGGTTAGTGCCTGGATTTGAGATGGTCTGGGAACTCCATATGTCACATTTGGTTTATTGGAAGAAAGGTGGAATAATGTACATTTGGCTGCAGAACTCCAACAGCAAGACTTGTTTTCTGGTCAGCCAAGTCTAAAGTGTTTGCTGTCCCTTTGTGTCACTGGTTCTCATTTTCCACAGGGTCACTATGTAGTATTCAGACTACTCCTGTGGGCAAAGTATGCGATTTGAACCATAGGGCTGTTTTTTAGGTTCATTACTGCAGTTGCAGTATCATGGAATCCTAAATTGCTGAAATGGTAATTTGGAACCCTGAAAGACAGAAGATCTTATCATCTAGAACAATTACATCTTCTGTCACCAGAATTGGTAAATGTTGATGTGGGAATGTTCATAAAAGTTCTCCATAATTGGTTGCTGGGCAACAGATTGTACTGTTGGAATGTCGGAATCCTGCAACAATTAAACTACAGTGACAACTTGGAAGATATGGCTCCCATAATTTTATCTCCCTAGTTTAGGGCTGCACAGCTTTTTTTGGCTTTTGATTAATATCATGGCTCCATCACCAAAGGCAGGCAGGGCCAAAACAAATATATGAATGAGAATAGGAAAAATGCTACATTTGTTCAAAATTAAATCAGATCAAATTAACTATAGTTAATGCAATTTATCTCAGTACATCTGATTATTTTCCCCTTCTATCATATTAAAAAAATACAGTTACTTGAGCAGCAGTGCGCAGCCCTGGAGGATCAGGCAGTGATGCCCACAGGAATGGAGCCTTTGTCAAAATGGCAAGAGAGGCATTATACCATTGCGATGCCTGGCATTTTACCATTTGTACGAGCATGTGATGTCACAATGCATGTACAAAGGGGCAGAGCTTGTGTCACAATGCCCCTTTCGTTCTTTGCATTACTCAGCCAACACTTCTGGTTTCATGTTGGAAAATACTGTCCTAGTTCAGTAAATCCTGAATATGCTTAAATATTTCATGAATATCACTGAACTGGACCATAAGGGTTAAGGGGAAAGGGGAAATACCTGTTGAATTGACTTTGCTTCCTGATGATTACGTAGAGGCATCTCTGTAGTTTCCTTGGTGCAGAAATGATTTGTCCTTACCTTCTTCAGAAACGTTCTACCTTCAAAGCCTTTCCAGTTTTGCCTATAGCTCTTGAATACCCTAATGGTTTCCTTTCAAAGTACTAGTCTGATCTGGCCATACTTCAAGATCAGTCAGTGTGCAGTAGGTGCTACACAGGAGAGTAGTGGCCAAAATTAATCCTGCTATTTGAGGGTCACAGCTCCCTTGGTTACTTTACTTTTTAATGTTTAAGTTGTTATTATTATTATGGAATCTAGCATGCTGCAGATTTAATTACAGAGTCATGTACAAGGGATAATATTTGATTAAATAAATAACCAGCTTCCCAAATCATCATAACTTTCAAGAATGGCTCAGATTCACACAGTGAGTATCATAGCTGGAGGGATGCAATCTTACCAGTTGGTCCTCTGGCTAACTGGTAAATGACTGGCTATACCCACTGTGGCAACCACTCTGTAAGTTAACAAAATCTTACCACTATGACCACCATTTTCTTTAAGCATCAGCATTACTGTGAAAAGTATGTAATGGCCCCAAAAGATTGGGGTTATCTTATCTGCCCCATTTGAAAACTAAACATACTGACCGTTCAGGTGCAATATTAAGTCCAGAGGCAGTAGAATCCAGTTATGGGGAGAAAACAACAATGGTATATGGTTTTAAAGAAGACGTTGGGTAACAACAGTTGGAAATGGGTTCCTAGACTAATTAGATCTTTGGCTATCCAACAGATTTCTTAATTTTGCTGTGGCTTTTCATTCTGTGTAATTGATCTAACCCAGCAAACATTCCATGAATGAACTCCACAGTGTTTGGTAGCATTGCTCTGGTGTATGTTATAGCACACAGTCATTTTCTCTACCTCCTGCTTCAGGACAGGCATGTCTGAAATCCATGTTTGAATGGCTTATGGCACTTCAGTCATAAATTCTCCATGCTATAACTTAGCCTACTTAAATTTTGCTTTCTGCAGTTGGGAAAATCCGTAGTTGCCAAAGTCAGGATCCCAGAAGGCACCACGCTCACGTTGGACATGCTCACAGTAAAGGTGGGGGAACCCAAAGGATATCCACCAGAAGATATATTTGAGTTGGTTGGCAAGAAGGTCAAGGTCAATATAGACGAAGATGAAACCATTGTTGAAGATGCAATTGAAAATCATGTGAAAAAAATGAAATGCTGAATGGTATTGTATATTATCAAGGAGTGTCCTGGGAAACGTGGTTGGCAAAACTATTGAAGTCCACTTGTAAATTACATTGAAGATGTTTGAGAAAGTGAACCTCGGGGGTTTTTTTCTTTCAGGTGGAAGAACTGCTAGCGCAGCCTCTCTCCTGTTCTGAAGAAGAGACTTTCACTGAAATAGGGTAATACGTATTTTTGGAGGGTCTTCAGAATGTATTGCTGAAAACCTTACGCTCAGGAATGACATAATGTCCTTCCGGTTGGGATATTGCCCAAAGAGTAGTGCAGAGCTTTGGAAATGATGCTTTCATGGGATTCAACAATTTTAGTCCTCTTCTAGTGTTGAGAATTCAGGGCAAGAGTAAGAATTGCAGTGCCAGTTGGGAATACCACAGAGAATATGCTGCTTTTGAGTAAGTTTTACGCTCTTGCAATTTGATTGTCAGTCTTCCTTCCTTGTCTTTATTATTAAGGTTTGGCTAGAGAGAAAGTATAAAATGTATGCAAGCTGTACTTGAGATTCTTAAACCTCCCTTTGCATGCTTCTAGGTTACCAAGTATGTAAACAGCTTGTACAGACAAATCTGATATTAGGCACTTAAGGGAAATTTGGTTCTAACACTAAGTTATTATCAATGATTACATAGAATTTTGGATACCTCCGGGAGTGATGAAGGAAGTAATATATAGAGAAGAAGGCCTACAGGAAGGTTCATGAAAACTACATCTTTAATTACATTTTCACCTCTTGTTTGTACCATAGTTAGAAATACGTGTGCTTCTTTGAAAGAGAAGTTGGCTATCGTAAGCAATTCCTATTTGGAAGCAACTTTTCCTGCACACAGGAGGCTTCCTACTAAGTCAACATGTTTAAGATGACCCTGCTGTCGTCCTGTATATCATGCTGCTATTTTCGGTTGTATCATGTGCCTTGTAGTGAATCAGAATCATTCAAGATGTTTTAATGAATCGAGCATTTTTTATTCTATTATGGTACACTGATATTCACACCTCAGTCTTGACCACTTTGGAAGAATGTGTTCACTTAGGCTTGAAATGAGTCCAAGAGGTTGCCTTCCTGTGAGATTGATTTGTTTTAAAAGCACAAGCAGGGATTTTAATCATGTGCCAGCCTGCTTACCTCACTCCTGGGCCATTCTGGTACATGCCAGTGAGAATTACATTTATATAAACTTACACATAGTTTAACATAGACTGCAGCTTGTGAAACTAGAGAGGCAGCCTATGTGCTATGGCGTCTACACGGGTGTATGCTTCTCTCAAGGAGGGTCCCAGTATGTGGATGCATGGAAGCCCAGAAGCAAGGAGAGGAAGCTGGTGCAGGCTCGATTCCTCAGCCAAGGGTTTGATGCGATATCTGCATAGAATTCTTGTGAATCATGATGGTGTCATTCTGTTCATGTTGCTCTAAGGAAATGATCAAACAATGGCCAAGTTTTTTTTTAAAGATTTGAAAAACAATAATAAAGTTTGTTGAATAAATTTATTTTTCTTCTCTCTGTTTGTTTTCATGGGGACCACTCGACTGCCTCTCCTTTTGGTTCCTCTAATATTGAGGGAGGAGAGGGAGCCCCTTTGGAATCTTTTTGATTGATGGAAAGATGAGTGCTGCTAAAAATGTATCCTGCTGCCCACAATGTTTGGAAAGACTGGTACTATTGAGGTCATAGTGACAGGGTCAATATACTAAATAGGGTTTGTCAAGGATGGCAACCTAGAAAGCTGGCTACTTTGCATAGGAAGACAAAAGTCCTTCTCAATCTTAATGAAGTAATGCAAAGAAAAAAAAGAGGACAGGGTTATAGGGAAATAGGAAAAGCCCTGTTTAGAAACAAGGGCTCAGTCTTTCCTTGGGAATTCCATCCTCAAATTTCCTCTTGTCCTCAAAGTAGTTCTTAAAACTAAGTAACTTCTTGTTCTACCCTTTGCCAGTGACAGCCATCCAGATATATTAGCCTTGTCATTACTGGTTGGGTTTGCTTGGACAATGGGAGGTGTGGTCCACCTTAGGCAACATGATGCTTTGTGCTCACTGGACTTCCACAACCTCAGACCAAGCTGCAGGACTAGTGGGAAAGCAAAATGGGAGTTGATCCGGAGGGTTCCAGGTTGACTGAGATTGTCCTATCTGGCATCTTTTAGATACTTTAGATTACAAAGCTCCCAGCGATTTGTCCTTCCCCATGCTGGTTGAAAAGCTAGAAAGCTTGAAGTTACCTTGATTTGGAGTTACAAAAAAGTAATGTAATCAAATAAAATGAAAGTCAAACATCCTTAAATTCTCTTGGTCTTTTCATTATTCGTCATCTGTTAGCTATCTGAATTAACATTCTTCTAACTTTTGTGATTTTTTTTTTAATCTCTGTATGTCTGACTACTCTTAAGATCTTAAGCAAAACATTGCTCACATGAGTCATTAGTGCAATGTTTAGGTAGTAATTGCATCTCCCTGAAGTATACGTCTATACTAGGGGTGTGCAGGGCTTTGGATTTCATTCAAAAAGAGGCTTCAGAGCTTGCAGGAACACAAATGTAGCACCTATTTACAGCTCTTTAAAGCAACTGTATCTTTTCCTAGAACTGCAGCTGCCCCATGATTCTGGGAAAAGATTCAGCTGCTTTGAAAAGTTGTCACTTTTGTGCCCCTGGGCATGCCTAAACACTGACAAAATCAAATATCTTGAGTGTCAAAAGGGTTGGTCCAACCGTACTAGAAGGGTTCTGGTGCCATTCCAGAAGTGGGCTAAGTTTCAAATGGAGCTGTTTTGAGCTCAGAATATTTATGGAATTGTTGATTCAGCCTTGGAAAATATTTGGAAAGGACAGAAGAGTTATTTTGAGCTCAAAACTGTTTAGAGTTCAAAATGCAACTTGAAATGTTTGAAATGTTTCAAATTGGAAAAACCTTACTCATCATAACTTTTTTTTTTAATCCCTTTATTATTTTTACAAATAACTCAAGGTGGCGAACGTACCTAATACTCCTTCCTCCTCCAACTAGAGACTTGCTTTAGAAATTAGAAAGCTAACTTGTACAGATAAGGAAAGGTAGGCTAAGTGCTGCTTTAGAAAGGAAACTTGAAAATTATTGGCTCTGGGAGGAACAATTCAAATAGATGCCATGGCTTCCGGAATTCTTTTCAACTCCCTTACAGCAGTAGCCAAGTTTGTGCCCTGGGAAGCAGGACCTCTTCTCTGGGTTACATGACTAGGAGAGGAGGAGGAGGAGGGTTTTGAATGGAACGGTCAGCAACATTCTGAGGTAGTGCCCAAATTCTTCTCCATGGAGGATTGGGGATTTTTCTTCAGAATATTTTTCTCTGGCTCTCAGCCAGATCTGGCCCATCTTTGTAGCAATCTTATTTTTGCCCCCCCCCCCCATACTAAATTTGGTTCCATTCCACTGTTTCCAGAGAGTTATTCTGGTGGTGGACAGAGAGTCCTGAGATTTTGTTCCAACTTCCAAAAAAGCACAAGTATTTTTAAGTAGCATGTGGGAGCTTTCCAGGAGCATCCTTCCTAGTGAAAATATCTGAGTGGTATGAGTAGGAATGAAAAAAGCAGGAAGTAGGAAGGCAAGCTGAGAGTCAAATTGTCAGTATCATGCATGCCTTTGTAAACAAAGGCAGGATCACTAGTCAGGCACCATCCATAATGCTGGGGTACAGCCCCAGTTTCAAACAGCCGGGAGAAGGAACAGTAGATATTTCACTGTCATTAGATTCAACTCCATCACTTGCTGTACATCTATAACTGATCCATCTGAGGGACAAAATGTCAGGACTATGCCAAAAAAAGATTATTCAAATCTCCAAACTTTTCTATTATTAGAATAAAGTTTCATAAACTCAGATACTGGTCCATTGGACCAGAATATGCAAATGTATAGGGATTGGCAAATACTTTGATACTTTGGCATGTTACAGATGGATGGATAAAAGGAGCATTTGGGACTGCATATAAATCATCTGGAAATGGAATATCCCACATCTGTCTGACTACTTTTGCAATGGAATGTCCCATATCTGTCTGTCTCTCTACCTTTTACCCTGAAGAGGGTAGTTAGTAATAAGAAGCTATATAAGTAAGCTGATCGTTGACGTGCACGACTGGGTCACACCACATTAAAAAAGATATTATAAACAGAAACAATATATAACAGAGCAATCAACATGAATACCCAAACCAATATTCTTTAAAGAGACTGGGCTCAGTTTCTGAAATTTTAAATGATGTATCAATGCTAAATTAGAATCAAATTGTCATTTGGGTTTTTAACAATGTTTTGGCTATGTGATTAAACAAGTAATTCAGTGGATATAATTCAACCTCTATTTGTATTTTTAGATTAAAGGGCAGATTTCCAGGCCAATTAATAGATTTAGAGAGCTAATTTTAGTGTGAAAAGAAAAAACACAAAGTTGTCTAAGTGTACATCATACATTTATTACTGAACAACCCTCTCAACTCCAAAATTGGGCACAGGGATTAAAAATAAAAATTCATTGCACTACTTAGTAAAGCATTACTAGTAACTCTCATAAAAAATGTACAAATTTTGTTAAAAATTTATCAAGCCTTCAAATGATTTGGTTACAGATATTTATAATACATTTAAAACTACATGTTAAATGATACAATGGAGTATGATTTTAAAGAAAACACTTGACAAATATAATTCTAACAAAATCCATAAGCTTTCATAATCATTAGCAAATTTGCAACACAAAAATACCAAAATGAGGTAACTGAAGGTACCAAAGGGGGTAACGGTGAGAGAACCACCGTTCTCTTATGTCTACAAGTAACAGAGTTTGTACAGGCAATCCTGGGTTAAGAATGAGTTCCGTTCCTAAATCTGTCTTTAATTTGAATTTGTACTTATGAACTCACACTTAGGAACAGGCTGCCTATTACCAAAAATGGTGGACGGCGTTCTCCTTCCTCAAGCTGACAAACAGCTGAACCCGCGTGTTGTTTTCATGAACCACTGGAAACAGGCTGTATATTAAAAACGCGACTCCAGCAGTTCATGAAAACATTGCGCGGCTTCAGCAGTTCGTCAGCTTGAGGAAGGAGAAAACCATCTGCCATTTTTAGTAGTAGGCAGCCCATTCATAAATATGAGTTGTCCATAAGTCAGATGTTCTTAACCCAGGGACTGCCTGTATTGAGTTTTTAGAAAGCAAAGTAAGAGTTGGTAAATCCCAAATAGTACAAGAAGTGGAAATGTTAACAGCTGCGACAAATATCACATTCTGGAGACTGTACAAAGAAGTCTATACAAAAGAAATTACTTTCCACAAAATAATCTGCAAAAGAAAACCAAGAGGTGAGACCTTAAGAGATATCCTTAAGGCCTTTATACCATTTTTTTTTAAAAGCCAGGAGGTCAAATTAAGTTGACAATTCATGCAAATAAAACCCCAGCAGTGCCAACATGATAAAGCCAACTTTTTTTTTTTCCATCAGGGAGAGGTAGGGATAATGGGGAAGAGGCTACCCAATATTATAATTAGGTGCTGTCAGGCATCGAGGGCTGTGGAATTAGATGTGTAGATGTGCATAACGCATGGCAGTTTACTGCGAAGTATGATTCCCCCTCTCTTCTGCCAGCCACAATGGGTTCGGAATTCCACTGCAGCCAGCATGAGCTGGTTCAGAACACATGCACATGTGTCTCACACAAACTTAACCACAGGAAGCAAATCTGCACACATTTGCAAGAGTCCCAAGCGAACAAGTCATTCAAAAAGATCTGCCACAAGAGTGCAACAATTAACTTGAGTATGCTACCAAAGTAGTCCCTCCTGCAGCCCTCTCTCTCCATCAACAGTGTCCTTCAACCGAAACTGGGAATCAAGGGACAGATGCTGCACTACAATATTGGATCCAGATGCAGGGCTGAGGAGCCATTTCTTAGAATTAAGATACTATGTGCCTCGTCACTCTGTTCCAGAAAACATCTTACTTTTACCAAAGCAGGGTTGACACTGAGTGGATACTCAGTGGACAATGAGCAGGGTAGTATTATGGTAATTCTGCATGGTAATTTTTTCTTTTTTCTTTTTTTTGAAAATCCAGCAATATAAAAAAGATCCAGAGTACTGTAAAACATGTGTGGCTTCCCTCCCACTTCCCAACCCATGATTTTGTTTGCTTAAAAAAATAAAATTTACCATGTGCAATAATTTAAACTTTTCAACACACTGAGACAATTTCTTAGAGCACATTGAGAGAAAAATCGTAACATGTGTAAAATCTGTCACACAGATTACAGTTCCTGACACTATGGACAGACTAAGGCGTCTAGTTACTAAACAGAGGCAAACAGTATCTGAAACAAAGAAGGTTGGTGGGAATTGTGCTTTTTAATTTGTAGAACCACACACTGCGATTAGTCATCAGAGCTTTGAGAAAGGAGGATGATTCACAACCAACACTGTTCTGGAGGAATAAACAGATTCAATATATAGCAGCATATAAAGCATCAGAAAAGACACACAAGATCTGGAAAGCTGACTAGCAGCAATAGCTGCAGCAATCAAAAGTTATGGCGCTTATAAGAGAAAAATGAATAATCCAGAATTAAATGTTCCTCTCTTGGAGAACTATGTAGCCATGGGTAGACAACTGTTGGTTTGTTGTAAAAAAGTTAAGCACTAAGTCCAAAATGTTAAGTGATGCCAATTTTACCACTACATTATTCAGAAGGCAGTTGAAAGGAGGTCAACTCCAGATTCACAGCATTTATTTTTTCTTGATTTCGTATACCCGCCCATTCTTGACCATGAATATTCTTCATACTATCCATACAATACTGAGGATGCCTTAACATCCACACAAAAGCTCGCTACCCAGTGCAGCAAGCCAGAAACTGCATTTGTGACACTTTTGCCAGGCAGTAAAAGGTGAACATGGTACCATGGCTAAGATGGAGAATCACAATGTTCTATCTCTAAGAAAGTGCTAAGGGTTTACTTTGTTCACAAAACTGAAGGCTTTGAAAAAGGAAAAAAAAAAACAACTCTTTCAAAGGTTACTTTAATTGTATACAGTTGCTTGTATATGGCAAGGAATGTGAGTTAGTGCCAGTGTCTCTGTATACTTAAGCAAATATATTGCCAACAATACAAGAAGCATTTGCACAAGATTTGAAGATCCTCTCTGTTTCTGTATTTATAGACAAAAAAATAATAATAAAAAACTCAAAACGAAGTTATCTTCACTCTCCGAAATTAAAAAAAATATATATTCCAAAGTTCAATCAAAAAGAACCAATTTTGACTGGAAGAATTTAAAAAAAGAGAGGACAATCAACTTTCAGTCATCGGTTGAGAATTTTTAATATTGCTACCTGACTGTGCAATGCTGCAACTCCTCATATAGTTAGCAGTGAGCTGCAAGTTTTTAAAAATGTAGAAATTCCAGCAGCCTAAAATTAAGGCTAATTAATTGTTGTAACTGAGAATCAATATGCTCTATAATGACAGATATAGGACCCCCGATTAATGGGAAGCATAATAGTTATCTGAATAAAAGCAAAAAAGGACCTTTTATACTATTAAATACATGGGGGATGAAATATCAAATGTCTATCATTGCTGCACCCTTTGCATTCAGTGTGCAACCGCAAACGCAAGGAAAGAAACCAGTGTACAGTACTAGGACTGTTTAAATAACACACAAGATTATACATTGCAGCATAATTAATACTACACACATACATCCTCAGTACATGCTGGTATATAAGTCCTCTCACACACTATCGCCAAACTCTTGCTCGCCTGCATACGTACAGACACCCTGCGATCAACGCACCCACCCGCACCATTTATTCCCACTCACAGTATTTGAAGGCTCTATATAAGGTAGATTGCTATATTGTTTGGAGCTACCACTTTTTATATAAAAGCACATGCTAGAAGATCACGTTCCACTGTAATCTCGCAGCAACACTCGGAATGATCACACAAAAACCAGGGAATGTTAGTGCACACACGAAATTAAGCTAAAAGAAAAAAAAAAAATCTTTGGAGTTCCAATCACACAGTTAGTATAACAATCCCATAATTGTGAAGACTAATTATAAGCTTTATAGTTGATTAAATCACACAGTGCAAAGAAAGGTCCGTTGACCCTTTTGTGTAAAGGGAAGGCTGGAAGCCACACGGGTTAAGTTCAATGGAGAGTTCATATATATATATACACACATGTGACTAGGAACACCCAAAGTAGAATTGTGCTCTTAGACTGGTCATTCTGAATCACGATGCACTTCTGAAGCATCAGCTCTGCAGATAGGGCAGGTACGATTTGCCTGAAATACAAAAAAGACGTTTTACTGAAGGAAGGCTACACTGACTACAAAATACAAAACATACTTTGGGGGGGGGACTAAGAAAGGTTCATTATAATCAATGACATATATCGTCAATGGAAGTAGAAATTCATCGGGAAGATGAACTTAATGCTCAAAAAGATTTCTGAGGGTGGGTGGGAATGGGTATAATCACTGATTTTTCATCTCTCTTACATTTATTTTATGCCTTATGCTGGTGTCTGTGTAAGAATTCAGCCTAAAAAATATAAAGCATCATTTTCAGCAAATGTGCTAGCGAGATTCAGTGGCTGATTGCCCATACTTGCCCTGTATGGTAACAGAGCTCTGGGATGATGAAAGACCCACATCAAAACTCAAGGGCAATCTTAATCCTGTGGAAGGACTCCTAGTCATACCTAAAACTGTGAGTCAACACATACTTCTGCTCTAAATGTTTTTAATTGAAACTTCCTAAAGATCAATTGCAAATTTAACTTTCTATAGTGTCAGAAAAGGGAGAGCAAAGTTCTTACAATCACTGAGGTTTCCAGAGATATTGTGCCATGCGTGTATGTGTAAGTCACAACAGATACATGAATATGCAAGAGGGAAGCCCTGATAGTTACAGTTACAGGACTGAAAACCTCAGCTTGTGGAATTTATTTTGTATACCTCCCTAAAATCACAAGATAAAACAAAATGCATCAGAAAACAAAGAAAGCAAAAAGTATTTATTCGAAAATACAAAGCCTTAGTAAAAATTGAAGAATAATATGCATGACACAAATGCAAATCCTTGAAGTGACCAAGTTGCTATAATATTCCCTCTGTTTCAAAATATATAAACAAATCATATAACATGACACAAAAAGCCTTCAAAATTTGATGTAGGTTACACCATGTACTGAAGTATAGTAAGAAATCAGAACAAACTGAAACCTAGTAGTATTTCCAATAAAATCCTGAGCAGAGTTAATTTAGTAATGAAAATTTAAGATAACAGTATAGCTTTATAAATTACACTAGTATAAGTCTGTTTTACTTCATCAGAAAGTATTTTCTGCCCTTCTACACTTACCCCAACTTGGTAATTTTAAACAACACTCTTCCTTAGATCTTATTTCAGATTTTTTCCCTCCAACAATTTCTCTTTTTTAAACCAAATAATATATATTTGTACTGTCACAATCTTAGATCAATTATTACTTCAAGGATGTAATCTTGTGGCATGCATTTTACTCTTCAAGTTTTAATCCTTGTAGTTTTGAATGAAGAGTTCTGGGTTTTCCCTCTCCATTTTTACTTTTAAAGCAAGAACACTTATTTAAGTTTGTTTAAAATAGTCCAAAGTATTTACAGTGCTATACAACTTATTATTTACAGCTAAACAAAAATTCTACCAGGAAGCTGTGAATTTCTTAGGTTAACATCCTTCTAACATATGAAACATGGCAGTTGCAATTCTATCAGACCCTACATGATATACAAATAATATAAAAACCGGTAAGTTCTGTGTGCAGTAGGCTGCAGATATTCACATTGTTTTCTCTTTTAAGAAAAGTAAGATAAAAATGTTGAATGAATGTATAACTGAATGTAGCAATGTCCATCAGTGATAATGCTACCAACTTAGATACTAGTTTAAGTCTTTGCCCTTGCACAATTTCAATGGGATGAATGGTGATACCTAATTCTATTTAAGAATTCCCCCAAATTCAATTTTTTTCATACACATACCTTTTTATAGGCCACTGATATAACTTAATATCCTTGTCTATGCAAAACATGAGTACATTTTTGTATTCAGATTCTTCAGAATTTACCACTACAGTGGTACAATACAGTGGAATTCAAGACAGTCTCTGAAATTTCTAATTTCCTCTTTAAATTAAATTTTGCAGAATACTGTTGTTCTTACCTCTATTTCTGGTGATGCCAACTAAACTTTAAAACATATGTTTAAAAATATTTAATGCCATTTTTTAAAACACTGTTTTAGGGAAGTTTAGAACATTTCAAGACTTCCTACTCATCAACAAGACGACCCATCTTAAAGACAGAAATTTTACTCCTACAGTTTGATATCTACTGCTCCAAGCATCAAGTATGCTTCTGGATATGCCAGACTTTTGCAAAGTTACTGCATGCAATTTGGACATCATTACAACAACTTTCTTTCTAAAAATAATATTACCTTAAGCCATTTGTCGACACACTTGGCATGGAACTCATGGTTACATGGTAAAACTCTAAGCAGTTGCCTTGACTCAAAGTCACACATGCATACTACACACCTAGAAAAGAAAAATTGCAGGATACTTTACTCAATAAAAGCAACAATTATGTTTAACAAGCTTTTACTTCAAAAGCTAAAGCTGTTTTCTATGCAGTTTAAAAATATGAACAGCCATGCATTTCAGTGAGATATACTGATGTATCAGTGTCAGATTTGGTTTTATTTTTAAATAGACTCATTGGCTAAAAAATGCAATTCAATACCAATTATTCTTTGCTCATAATCTAATAACACTATTAGAATTGGTCATTTATACGGGTGTGCATGAAATGGAGAAAATGTTCTGTTTCCAACTTAGAACAAACCATTGCATTCTGGAATTGGGGTCAGCCTCCAAAGAACCCACACCTGGAACCCTTTGGCTGTTTCAAGGTTCGGATGAAACAAAATTCAAACAGGCAAGAAACTCTCACCATTTCCATCAGCAACTCCAAGAGCGACACTTCCAAATGGCCTGCCTACCCCTGATCTTCCCAGCACCCTTCCTCCCTCTCCCCATCACTGGTGATACTCCAGTACAGCATATCCCCCTGACATGCCAGCCCTCCATCTTCTCGGCACCTTCCTTCCCACCTCAGTTGTCAATATCCTTGGCTTTTTCCCTCCTCCCTTCCTCTAAGAACCATTTGTACCTGGATCAAAACAGTCCCTTTATGTGCTGTGCCTGGAACAAAACAATCAATGTATTGCAGTGTGGGCACAGACCACCCAAAACCAGCAGTTCTGTGTATGGAACAGTATGTGCAAGGAACGTTTTTCACATTCCTAGTTCTTTATATACAGCTTGGAGTGAGTATAAAGCATTTCACACACAAGTAGATGAAAACAGAACTGAGGATAAGCCCAACGGGTTGCCCCTATCTATCTAGTATAGCTTTTCAGTACTTGAAATGATTGGCATAGAAAGGTAACATGTCTAGAAATTTTGAATTTGTTGACAAAAAAGCAGTTGTGTCCCATCACTTTTTTTTTTAATCAGAGTTCGGGGGGAATATCAAAAGATATGTAATATTAATTTTATATAACTCTTCACTAATCTAAGATCACTTGGTTATTTCAAGAAAACAGAGTGCAATATAAAAAAGTTGTTTATTCATATAATTATGTTTGGTGTATTATGTTTACTAATTGAATTTGTTTTCAAATGTTCCTCTGAGGGCAGAAATGCATTTTGCTTTTGCATTTGAAAGTAATACTATACTTCTTTCACTCATTTTAGGGTAATGAAGGATAGCAAAATATGAATACCTTGTCTTACTATACTCATTATTCTAAAATGAAATATTTCACTGGAGTAATGCTTTCCAAAATGTTGCTACTTTTTTCACTTTGGGAGAGAAACAAAACAAAACAGTCTGTAGTCTTCACATCAAGCTGAATTACAGTTCAA